GGCGAACACTGACCCGCTCTTGTCCAGTAAATACCCGTAGCTACTAAATTTAGTAGTTTTTAGTTATTTTAGTAATTTTTCAACTAAACATTATGACTAAAAGTTATTAAAAAACTTTAATCCTCTTTAGTAACTCTGGAGTTACTAAAAGTGACTAAACCGTTTAGTAGCGGTAACTCAGACATCCAGTGAGTAAAGATAGCAATAAGCTCAGAGAAAAAGAAGAGAAGACCAGAGAAAAGAGAGGAACGCCATGCCCTTTTCAGCTTTATTTGGTCTACACCTACACACGTCTCAGCGTCACTGTTCTGATGGAAATTTGCACGACAAAAACAACTGTCGAGAGAGCAAGCGCGACATTCGTTGTCGTCGTCGTCACGTCTGTCTCTCTTGTCGTGACCCGATAATATACGCGTATGTAAACATGCGCGATCGCAACGGTTTTGTCGTTGACGTAGAGGTTTTTCCCCCCTTCAGTCCCATGCTCTTCCTCATAGTATTTCTTTTCTTTTTTTTCCCCCTGCGTGCAGTACCTGTACGTGTGATGATCCGATATGGATGTTGCCTGCATCATGTATGTTTTGGGACCTGCAACTTCAAGGCATCATGTTGCGCTAGCTGGACAGGCTTTTTGAGTTTGTTTTTATGACTTTTTTTGGAAATGGTTTATTTCAATACAACATGAGCATTATTTCTCTGAGCGTGACTAGTTTATTTAATCTGCGGGAACGCCAGACAAAATGGTACCCGTCACCAATCGACCTCTCTCTCTCTCTGTTCCTGTCTTGTGTCCCAGCCTGCGTACATGTATTTAAACGTGCCCGATCATAACCTTTTTGTCGTTTGAGGAAAAGAATATCTTCAGCTTCGTACTCTCGTCCACCAGCATCGTGATTGTCATGTTCGTTTCGTTTGGCTGATAAACCATAATTAAAAGTTGCTGGCTGATTTGTTGTGAGAGAAAAATACTATTCGTTGGTTTAAAAAGTACGACTTATAAGCGAAACGAACGTAGCGCGATTTGAATTCCGTGCCGATGATGATCCGCTAGCAGATTTTTTAGCCATCTGCCGATGCTACAAGCGACAAATGTTTTCAAATAATGCGACTTCGAATCGAAATTTTGCAGTGCAGATAAGCCAGGGCCCCCCTGAGGCAGCGTTGTTCTGTCCAGGGTCACTTGCTATTCCATCAACGACGGCAGCCGCAGCCGCGCGCTAATTACCGACGCCATTTTCCGTGGACGGCGGAGCGTCCACCGTTTGCTTGGTCGCCTGTCCAACACGAAACGGAGAGATGCTCCCAGGAAAGCTCAACCCTAGCTACCGCTCTATCTACTTACTCCGGCCCTCTTGGATTCTGATCTGATGCTCCTCTTCCATATATCCATCCTCGAGCAAACAGCATCTGTCAGTTTCTGTGACACTAGTTGAATATCTAGGCTTTTGTTGTGCTTTTGATTTTGCTACTATAGGAGTGATAAATGTTGGAATAATATCTGCTTCTAACGAGACGTGAGTGATAGCTAGCTGAAACGAGCCCAAGTATAGTAGGAGTACATACATCATCGCGGTGTTTAGGAGGGATGCAGTTCGATCAGTAGCTGCACCTAACGCGACGTGAGTGATAGCTAGCTGAAACGAGCCCTCCCCTGCCCATAAATGGCAGCACTAGATATGGTGTAGTACTTGTTGGTTAGGCAGCGTCATCACCCCCATTAGCCACTAGCCAAATTGCCGGGTCAAAGTTGATCAGTTTAAGTGTCGTCCCAGATTAGACATGAAGGTTACATTTGGATGCGCTATATGTCTCGGGCACGTACTCTTCCTAGCTTGCTTGTTTGTATTTGCTTTGTCACAAAGACGGGTCGTCGTTGGGCGGCGATATATAGATATTCTTCTACGTATATAACAGGAGAAAAAAGATGTAGCTGAAAAGCGAGACACTGTCATGTTTTTTTGTTTGATAGAAAAGTACACGCACTAATGAGAAGCATTATTAGCAGGGTAAGGAAACACATCAGTCATCAGGCATGGACATGAAGCGATGAAAGCTCGATTTGTCTTGTCGTCCATTCTAAAAGCGACGGTGCTCCTGATGGTCAGTGGACGGTTCAGGCGTTCAGCAATGGACGGCTTTTTTTAGGTATGAAAACACAGCAGGAGAAGCTCTCTGCTGACGCTGCAGGAGTGTCTGTAAACACTACTACGCCATGGAATAAGGAAGGAAATGTTGCGACGACACGAGCAGGATTGCATTGCAGGAATGATACTTTACCCCACTCGCTCTCCTTCCTGCCTCTCTCTCCACGACCCACAGGCCCACCACAGGTCCACAGTGCAGCTGCATCCTCTGCTCCTGCATGCTATGGGGCTGGCTGGCTGGCTGACCGGTTGGGCATCTCTCGCGCGCTGCACACTGCATGGCACTGGCATGGGTGCCTGCCAAAAGCCCCCCGCGGACTCTCTCGTATGTAGCGTGCGCGTCCACTAGCAACAGCAAAAGCGAAGAATATTTCACCTGGAGAAGGGCGCTCCGCCGTTGGACTTTCGCCGTCTCGGCTCATGTCTCATCTGATGAGCATGACCATGGCCATGGCCCATGGCACGCAGCATAGCGAGAGCCAAGAGGGGGGCCAAAACCAAAGAGGACAAGGGCAAGCCGGCAAGTGGCGACTCGGCAGGCACGAGTAGTAGCGTAGAGTACCCCAGCTCCCGCGAGAGCGGAGGAGATCAGGGGATGATACAGGTAAAACTGCTCGCGATCGCGAAATCACGCGCGCCAATTCAGAGCCATTTTCATCGAGTATACTCCAAAAAAAAAAATGGACATTATGAGATACATGCGGGTCAAACTTTTTCAATTTTGAGTAGATTTCTAAAAAATACGTGCAATATTTATATCTCCAAATAAATTTATTATAAAAATATATTCAACGATGTATCTAATAATATTAATTATGTACTACAAATAATAATAATTTTTATATATAGTTAGTTAAAGTTAAAAGAAGTTGACTTTTTATAGAGCGAGAATAACTTCTATTTCAGGACGTTAAGAGTAAGAGTAGATAGGTGCCCTGGCGGAAAACTTTGAGAGGCATCCGCTTGCGACGTCAGAGGATTCGGAAGGGGTGGATTTTGCGGCTGGTGAAGGGTGACTCGTCAGATTCGCAGACCGGAGATTTGTTTCGTTCGAGTAGGAAACGTACAGATTCTCCTGTTAACGGGGACCTCGTCTTCTCTCCGCATGCATGATACTCCCTCTAAAAAAAACGTAATTATAGGTTTCAAATCTTATCTCGAAAAGAATATAAATGTAAACTTAAAATCAACTTTTTCAATAGAACTCACCTATTAAAAATACCAATACATATCTAAAAACTATCATATTCTATTCATCCGTGAAAAGAACATTCTGAAATATAACCATTGTTTTTTTAGTTTCTAGAATGATAGAGTAGGGGTAAATATTTAATTTAGCACCTACACTAATCTTATCTCAAAAATAAGATTTAGGATGAAGAGAGTATAATTACATATGCATATACAATAACAAAAATATAGGAGGAGAGGCGGACGAAAAAGGAGGAGCAACTTGAGGACTTGCCAGCTGAGCATTTGTTTCCTTTGACTGACTAGAGTAGTTTATTTATTTATTTATGTTAATGCTGCATGCATCTCCTTTTTTTATACTACTGCGCACAGCAAATGAGCAAACCGGCAGCATCGCTGGATCCAAGGCGGACGACGATTGGGCGGAGCCGCATGCTGCCACCGCGCCACCGCCCGTGTTGACACTACTACTACTTACTACCAGCTCCCTTGCCTGCTGGGCTTGCTCTGATTGTGATTGCCTCCTCTTGTTCCTTGTGATAGTTATCAAATGTTTTGGGTACTCATGCCCCCGTGCCAGTATGTTGACAGCACAGTGCGTCAGTGACTGTTTAAAACGAATCGGGACCAGATAAGCTGTTCGCTTGATCGCTTATATGGTTTATAAACTGACTGACGTTGTTTTGTCGTGAGAAAAAAACACTGTATCATAACTGATATGATCAAGCGAACATGTCAAGGATGGCCCCAACCGAGCTTGCACAAGCGTCACCACCGAGCCAAAAGAAGCAGAGATCGATGGTTGTTCCACATGGTGTACTGGCCCTCGCATCGCACTCTGGGAAATACACGGAACCATGGGCTTGTTTGGCTGGTTGATCTTTGGTCTTTGGTTTGGATTAAATTGATCTTTAGTTTTTATGAGAGAAAAATATTGTTAACCTACTTGGTTTGAAAATTTACCGAAATCAACGAAATGAACAGATTGTATCGCATGAACGAGGCATCCTTGTGGTGGAGTGGAGTGCCATAAATAAATGGACGGACGGACCCGGACCCGTTCATCGCCTCATCTCGTAGTACCGTGACCGTCACATTGCGTGACGACTGCAGAGCCCAATCCGACTGCTCGCATTCTCGCATGGCTTCACAAGCAGTACTAATGTTGTACTACTGACGTTTTAATAAAGGATTGTATATGTACTCCTGCGACTACATACAGAGATACGTACTACTATACCACTCCGTATCCGTAGCATATACGCACCGTACTCCTCCTACTAGTGCTCGTTCTCCGCAGTCCGCAGCGCACACACATTTCGGCGTACACAACCACTTTTTACCAGACCGTTTTTGAGGTCATCTTAAAGTCGAGAACATCCATCCGCCCATCGCCTCAAATCCAGCGCCGCATCAAATCCATCGCGTCGCGTTGCCTGCCTCGTGCTCCGACTCCCCAGGCCCACCCCCACCCCTACTTCTCCGGACTCTGAACTCTGGTCTTCCCACCCCACGCTACTACGCCGCAGACGGAGACGCAGTGAGCCGAGCCCTCCGGCCGTCGCTTCCGCCACACTGCCACCATTGCTGCCGCCCCCTCCGGGCCCGACGAGACGAGGAAGCCAGGGGAGGGAAGCCGAGGCCTAGCCTACCCTAGCCTAGCCAATGCCGGGGGACCGCTCGCCCACGGCGGAGCACCGGCGGGGGATCCGGCGCCTCCTCCTGCACCCCCGGGGCGAGGCCTCTTCCTCGTCCTCGCCTCCGCCTCCGGCGCCCCCGCCTCCGCCGGCGCCGGAGGAGGGGAGGCGGAAGGGGTTCGCCTTGGCGGCGCTGCGCGGCCTGGGCTGCACGTCGGAGGCGGCGTCGCAGGCGTACGCTCCCGGGGCCGGGGCGGCCGCGGCGGCCGCCGTGCGGTCGTCGGCGGACTGGCACGGGCGGCAACGGCGGCGGAGGGGCGGCAAGGACAGGCGGAAGGAGCGTGGCGGCGGCGGCGGCGGGGGCGGGGGCGGGGGAGGAGGCGGAGGCGGGGGCTTCGTCACCGGGGGGATCGACGCCGACGTGTGGTGCGCGCCCGGGATACCCTTCGCCGCGGAGGCGTCCTCGGTGGACTGCGTGGTGGCGCGCCACCAGATGGTTGGGAGGGGCGGCCGCGGCGCCGACGGGGAGAGGTCCCACAGAGACAGAGAGGTGTGTTCACGGCTTCCTCGCTTCTGCTGCCACTTGCTTGCTTCGATCTGTTCCTGCTCAGATTTCGTTCGTTTCGAAAGGGTTTCTTCGTTCACTGTGGCTGGGGCTGGGGGTCGTTCTTTGTTTCAAATACGAGTATTTCTTTTTCCCCCCTCTGGGATCGTTGCGTGCTTTCTGTCAGGTTCACAGCATTTCTGGCCCCCTTCGAAATTTGATTAATGCCATTAATCCCCTATTTAATCTTGACAACTGTGATTACGGACGGTCGTCAATATTGTTCAAAGGTTAATGTGATTGGTTCTTTGTTCTCTGGGCGCGTGGATTCTTTTATTTTAATAATTCTATAATGTACGCCATGTTCTGCTGTATTGATGAGCTCTCACCTGAACAGCGGCCGTGCCTGTCCCGGAGGGCGTCCGTGCAGGAGCAGATATCCTCGTCCTTCATGGACTCGCCGCCGCCGCCGCACCTCGACGCCCCCTTCTTCGGCGCGGATCTCATCCCCTCCGGCCGTCTCCGCCGGATGCGCGGGTACCGCCACTCCCCCGGAGGTCTCGAGGAAGAGGTACGGGCATTGCTTACAGACAGACGCTGGCTCTTCGCCTCTCGCCGTCTCGCGCTTGCTTACACACATCAACCGCATCAATTCCGTGCCCCGCCGACTCCAGCGGTTGGTGCGTAGGGCAGGGTCGTTAAGCGTGTGATCATCTGACATGTTTCTGCGTGTGATGCGTGCGTGGAAACTGACTGGTACGCCGTTTGGTAACGCCCTCTGGGCGGCTGGGTGGGGAGTTGGAAGTGGTTGACTTGCTCCTTTCGTGCGCTAAACGTGACGTGAGATGGCGGCCTTCCTAGAGATTGTTAACTCAACTGGTGCCTTAACAGGCACAATCATTACCTGTGGTTGCAGCCGTGACCCGTCGGTGATATTGTCATGAGCACAATCATTAGGGTGTCAACAATGGAGGTGCGTAGCAGCAGAATTTGATTACACAGAGAAGTTTTATAGCCAGATAGATTTAGCTGGTTACTACCTTTGTCCCAAAAAGAATGCAACTCTAGCTTTGTTCTTAGTCCAGCTATTTTAAAAGTTTGACCAAATTTGTAGAAAAGTATGCCATGATGAATCTAATGATACCTACTATTTGGTGTTGTAACTGTTTGGCGATTTTACTTTTTATTATTATAGAAATTTGGTTAAACTTGAGACAGTTTGGCTTAGGTCTATGCTGGAGTTGCATTCTTTTTGGGGGGGCAAAGGTAGTATTTCACAGCATGTGGGTGCTTCACTGTTCTCCTGTGCCTAAGAGTAGAGGCGCATATGCAAATACAGCCATCTAAGCACCTTCAAGATATGTTTTCCTTATAGAGATAGAGAAGATAAATCTTACTGTTGGTTTGTTGATGTGGAATTATGCTGTTATTTAAATGACTTTTAGAAATGTTTGGCATTGTTCATGCCCTCGGGACCAGTTGATGTCAGGTCGAGGTCCTGCTGATTTTAGTCTTAGGATAACTGCAGTTGATGAAGGAATGAAACCAAGAGAAATGTGGCCATTGAAAGAGACCTCGCAACCATAGTGAGGTTTGACCCTGTACCTTCCAACGCCAATGACAAGTATGAATACTGGATTCTCCATGCTGAGCTGGGCAAAATGGTCACTTATTCTTATTGTGCTCTTGGAGCATGGGGGCAGTAGTGGTGGAACACCTGACAATTACGGCCAATACTATGGCTCGATTCTCTTTTGGCATACTGTTCTGGTGGATCGTACAGTATGTTCAAGGAAGGAACAGGCATGCTGGTTTCAATGGCTGATGGGTGGTGCTAGCAGTTAACCATTTATGATTAGTGCCAAGCCTGCCTTGCTGGACTGAACTATTATTTTCTGTCTGCTTAGGGGGACCGACCCTTCATGCTTTTTATCATTTGCCTGTTGCTTCAGTCATGATCAGATCTGGAGTTGTAGTCATTCCTTTTATGTGGACACCTGCCTAGTGATGGCCCCTACCTAAATCATTCAATACCAAGACCCACAAGCATTGTCGATCTGTACAGGCACCAATTAACAGATATTGGAACACACTGTTAATCTACTCAGGTGTCATTTCCTAACCTGATTAACAGATGCCTATTATAGAGTAGATAGCTGAAAGTGAATTGTTCTACAGTCGCTTTTGCACACTAGCCCTTTTGTGTTCTTTGATGGATCTTGTAGTCTTTTTTCCAAAACAATGTTCTGTGGAGACATATTTCTTACTGTCTCTGCCTTTGATTGACCATGAGAGCATATTGTAGAGTGGACATAGTACCCTTGACATTGACAAATAAATGTTGCAATAGTTGCAGTTTTCTGGCAAGCACATCATGTGAAATATGTTACTACCATGATAGTATTTGTCGCCAAGCAATGATCTTGAATCCATCCATTCCTCACAGTCTGCACCATAAACATTACCATTTCCTATATATTTCTAGCTATAGGAACCTACTAAGATATAATCTTACAGACCAACTTGAATTGAAAGCATAGATATGAAATTTTCTATCCAGCCATTAAAATGTCATGCATATGTTCAGTTGGCTGGTTTATGCCACTCTTGAACTTCAGTCTGCACTTTATACAAATGAAAGTCATCTTTGGTTGCAGTGAAGAGTATAATGCATGGTCACTCTTTCTACAATGTTCACTAGCTAAAGTAGATAATAATGATGTAATCTGCTCCTTAGACATCATATCCAGCTGTCAACCCCAGCAGTTTCTTATTCCTCGTTTTTCCTTGTATTTGCAGATAATGATGTTTCAGACAAGAGTGTTACTGGGAGGAATGAACATGTACGATCGCTACCAGGATTGGCGCCTTGACGTTGATAACATGACATACGAGGCATGTACCCCCTTATGTTGTATCTATGTGTGACCACTGCCATCAGTCGATGACACTTTGCTTTGCAGGAGTTGCTCGAGCTTGGAGACAAAATTGGATACGTCAACACAGGGTTACGTGAGGACGAGATTACTCGCAACCTTAGGAAGGTCAAGCACCCATCCTTTAGTTCTTTCCGGTTCGCAACAGAAATGGAAAGGAAATGCAGTATTTGCCAAGTATGCCCATACCTCCATTTCTCTAAACTTGATTCCATGGATCTTTATGCTAGCACCCTGTGGTTCAATCTTAAAACTAGTCTGATTTATACTGTACTTTGCAGGAAGAATTTGAAGCAAATGAAGAGATGGGAAGGCTAGACTGTGGCCATAGCTACCATGTGTACTGCATCAAGCAGTGGCTCTCTCAGAAGAACACTTGCCCAGTTTGCAAGACTGCCGTTAGCAAGAATTGAAATCCAAACTCCAGGCACGCTGCCGGTAGATCTGGGTGGAATCAGCAAATTCTGTTGTCCTGTACAGCCCGTAATTGTGTAAACACAAGCCATTCGTTGCATCTTGCAGAAAGAAAATGCCATGTTTTGGTCATTTCTGATACCCTTTTACCTAGGGTGATTAGGAAAAGGTTTTGCAGTAACAGTTAGGACGAGCCTTTGCTTTCATAATGTATCTAGGCTCTGTTTGGATTCTATCGTCTTAATCTTAGCTCTGAAGGTTCTACACAGGTGGTCTAAAGTGATGTCTAAAATTTAGTTTAACTTCACAAAAGATCATTAATTCATTAAATTATACAAGTATACTAAAATGGTATAAAGTATAGTTGGCTGCTGAACTTTTGACCGGATGAGCCTCAATGGGCCGATAAGCCTCATCGCTACATCTGGGATGGGCCGATAAGCCTGTGTTTCTCTATAGCGACTCCATTGAGAAACGTCGCTGCACGCCTGCACCGCGACTGCTGATATCATGTCACGATGAAAACAATCGGAAACCATCAATAGGAGGCCAAATCATTTTCATTTTCACATTTTTTCTTAAAAAGGAAATCGATACGATATTGTCGGAAACGAATACGGTGCCAATATTCCGGTAATTTCGAAAACAATAGTAGTCGATCAGAAAATACATCGATAACGATAAGAATCCATGAGAACGATATCCTTAAAAACGATAAACACGCTAAACCGTAAAACATGAGAAGATCCAAATAACTCGATCTATCTCACATGACAATAATAAATAAAGCCACAATTGACGAGACTACAAGCTGAAACCACACAATTCACAGGTCTCAAACAGTGGCAAATCATGCAACAATATGATAATTCTTGACAAAGACACAAATAAATGATCAAGTTCTAGCTGATAAGCCGGCTGATAAGTTCAAACGAACAGGCCCTAAGTTGACTCGACATAGCATACTGATCAAAACATGAATCATTAGAGTTCCTTCTTCAATGGAGGCTGTAGGCTTCCTAAAGATGAATGTCAGGCTTGTCATCGTCGTCACCGGCCACATCTTCCCATCCATATTCTGAGAATTCATCCTACATAGTTTGTGATGGATGTGTTAGTTCTCATACAAGGCAGCTGTAGGTGGGTTAATAACAAGCATCATATTAGCAATAGATGGATGTATTAGTGCAATAGTGCTTATAAGTAATAAAAATCTGAGAAACACGTAGCTAATAAGAAGCAAACACAATATATGTATGTGTCGCAGGTAGCAGACAACACATCATATACAAGGTAAAGGCTAGAAAAAAGAACCTCGAGTGGTAGAGAGGTGCGGGCGTTCGGTTACTATCTAGGGACGGGTGCAGTACGTGATTGTTGTCTGATTGTTCTATACGCATGAAATACTTGTCTATTAGTTTTTTTCTAAAAAAAATATTTATAAAGTATGTGTTGTATCGGTAATTACCGACGATAAATTACTAGTTAAATACGGTAATCTTCGAAAATGATCGGAAGAGGGCAAAATTGTTTTCACTTTCGTTTCCGATTATTTTTACCGTTATCGTTTTTGTTTTTTCATTACCACTACCGTTTCCGTTTAGACCTAAAAATCAGAAAAAAACTTGAAAATGATTTCCGAAAATCGGAGATTATCATTTTCGTTTTCATCCCTACTAAAGCAGTTAAATTGGCACCAGCTGGGAGCAGCGTGCCCTAGGGCAAGTACATTGGTCTCGTCTCGTATGTGATCTCATATAGTGTCACTTAATTTTACGATGACTTAATAGACAATATGTACAATGATTATTTATTATGTTGTCTCGTAGTAACACATAATTTCTTAATTTATGCATAGAATTAAAGTAAATTTGTGAGCTACATGGCAATAATAATTCATCCAATGGTAAAATAGTTGTATCATAGTTCTAAATTTTAGTTCATGAGATAGTGGTTTCGCGAAACCACAACCTCTTTCTCTCTCCCTTCTCTCTTTTCTCCACATCAGCAAAAATCTTACGTGGCACTGTATCAGACGACGTACGACACCGCTGACGTATAGCAATATACCTGCCCTACCCTAGGTCGGACCTAGCCGCAGGCGGCATGCAGGCAAGGTCGGCAGCGGCGGCGCGCGCAAAAGCTCGGCCGGTGCTGTCTCGGCGGCTGCGGCGTGCGGAGGAGCTCGGCCAGGGCAGCAACGGCACGCGTGCGAGCTCGGTCGAGGAGGCCGCAGCATCATCGTCCCGGCGGTCTCCGCACGCTGCGAGCCCGGCCTCTGTTTGGGCAGCTGGGCTGAGTAGTGTGCATTTCGAGTGATGGAGGTCGTGCAACGTGCACTGACTGATGGAGACCTCATCTTTGGTGCTCTCTTTTTGTTGTGGAAAAACCACATGTATATCTACAACTGTTGCCGGTGAGAGATACAGTCCGAGCAGGGGCGGAGCTACATGGTGGTCCGGGTGGTCCGCGGACCACCGGTGCATACCAGGCCCATAGATATAGGAAAATTCAGTCAGATCGGATACTACGTCCGAGCGTCCGCGGCCTCCACGAATACGCCCGGCGGCCGTTCTACGCTCCTTCATATTTCTCCGTGCGGCCGCTATGCGCCCCTTCGTATCCCCTTGATGAGTTGTGCTTCATAGAATTCGATATACTAAACGATAGCAGAGGCGGAGGGTCGGCGGCAGGCGCCGGACGAGGAGCAGCCGCACACGTGAGTCATCTGCAAATATACGTCTCAACATCTTCATCCAATTAGCCTGCTCGTTTAGTCATGTTTCCTTTTTTTCTCTTTCAATCTCTCCTTAGAGCTAGAGAATAAGTAAATTAGCCCTAACTCGAGCAGAACGCATCAGCAATTGCTGGTGGCTACCGGGCGGTGATCAGCGACACCGACCCATCCACCATCAGGCATCAGACGTTCAGAAACTGCAAGCCACAAGACACACAAAACTTTATTTTATTGTGTCATTAGATTATATTATTGCACGGTCGCATTGGACTATTTAATTTTAATTGTAGGATAAGATTTTTTTGTGTAAAATTGATTATTGGAATGGTAAATTAAAACAATATTTTTTATTCTCTTGCAGACTTATAGAAATATAAAAAGGAGTAGTGATACTGCCTCTCTTTTTCAAAAATATGCATCAAAGAATAAGCCCTGTTCGCTTCGCTAAAAAAGGAGTGGTGATACTGCCCCGTTCGCTTCGCTGAAAAAACAAACCGAAACACTGTTTCGACTGATTTGTTGTGAGAGAAAACACTGTTCCAGCTAAAAAAACAAGTTGAAAAAAACAGATTATAAGAGAAACAAACAAGGCCTGCAATAACCTTTATCAAGAATAAGTTGAAAAACTCTGTATGCTTTTTTTTTCTTTAATTGTGTTTTGTATAATTCATATACTTATGTACCGACATGTTAAATTTAGTTAACAAAATTTTCGACAATGGACCAGCTACAAATCCTGGCTACGCCAATGAGTCCGAGGGTCCTTCCATTGAATCCTTTTACTGTCCACCGGCTGAAACGTGCATATGACCACGCCACTCACACGAGCCCTTCAAAAGTAGTTGAAACTACATTTGCAACCTCGAATTCAGCTACATACATACATCGGCTCTTAAGGTTTCACCGAGGTGCCAACAACCAGCAAGGTTCGTCTCCCCAGTGCTTCTGCTATGGCCTATGGGACTAAGAATGACAATCTGTGAGTTAAAACAGCCATCTAAAGGCAGAAACCAAGGTAACCAAATCCGGTGTGCAAATGGGAAAAAAGAAAAATCCTACCTTTAGTTCCAGTCTGACGATTTACTATGTACTTCGATGGCAAAAACTCATGAAGACACTTCGTCATGTTGAGAGAGGAACTCTATTATACAAGGGTATACTTCATGGACAGCCTGCGCATAGTATAGATAACCGTAATGTGAAGATGAGTACAAGAAACCAAAGGTGGACTCCTAGCTCTGATTAACCACTTTTTGTCGACATACCTTTCTCCCTCCAACTAAATCATAATGTGCATAGTGAGGGCCTTCGGGTTCTCCAAAAACCTTGTATGTAACCAAATGCTGAGGAATTAGCTTCACAGTTTCTACACACAAACAAAAAATTAAGAGTTGTTTCTCTAAAGGGATTCAGAAAGAATATCAAGTAAGGATAGAATCTATGAGGACCATGCATTTGGCTAAAGCCACCACCCATTGTGGTTTTTGAAACTGTGCTATGAGCTAACACTGTAGCGCCTTAGTCCTAGGCTGTCAGCTTGTAGGCTAAGCCCAATTAGGCAATGCCCATGATCATTGCACTAGATCAAGCGCTAGAACAAAGCTGCATATTCTTTTGGTTGAAAACTATCACTCACGCTTTAGGGTTTGTTTGAATGCACATGTATCTACCTCAATCCATGTGTGTTGAAGTGGATTGGGGCGGAAATTAAACTAAGTTCCACCCTAATCCACTCCAACACACAAGAATTAAAGTGGATAGTGCATCCAAACAAGGACTTAATGTTTTTAGTACTATAAAAAGGAGGATTCCTTATTGCAAAGCAACAAAGGAGAAATGGAGCTTTGCCAGCTTCTGGCGGACAAATCAGATCCTCGTCTCCAGCAAAGGCAAGCACCGGGACCTTGATTTTGTTCAGATGCTCTTTGAAGAAAAAGGTACCAGTCCTGTTGCACAGCCCGCCATCACGGAATGCGGTCATAAGCTGTGACAAAACCTTTGCTGGTACTGTGCCTGTATGCCATGACCCCAACCCCCCAACCACCACACACACACACACACACAAAGTTGTGACAGGAAATTGTTAAGAACATAGATGACAAAGGTCAGCATAACTGAACCAGGTGTCTGTTTTGAAAATTACCATTTTAGGTGACAACAGTGAAATTTACTATTACAGCACAAGATTAGATATTCCTTCAAATGTTCATAAATAGTTCAGAACTAAAGCATAAGCACAAACATAAAAATAGCACCTAACCTCTATATCTGGGAACTACTTACAACAAACCAAATTGTATAGGAGACGCATACACAAAATAAAATGAACATTTTTGCATGATCTCCATTATAGTGTGAGTGTTTTGTAACCTTTGAACCTTTGCTTCTAACTGAAATGAAACGGCAGAACACCTACCAAATTATGCTAAAAAAACATTTTCGCATGATACTCTGATATTACTAAAAAAGAGCCACATGGCTTATATTGCTAGCCTATGCAGATTTTTTTTCTCTTGAACTGGCAGGAGGTCTAACCGCCATTACCTATGCAAGTTCTTAGCAAAAATGATATTAGTAATACTGCTATGACACTTGTATGTTCATTTGTTCCATGGACATAACAAATGAGTCAGAAAACCTTCATGCGAAACAATTCATGGCTATATTTCAGTTAAATATCATCTGACTAGTACCTTAAATACAAACAAGCACTTGCCAGTTTCAATAACAAACAGCAAGATACGCCTTTACTTACAAAAGTTATTCAAGATAAGCTCTGAAAGCAGTTCAGGGTCCATCATTTCCTTGGCTGAAATGTGAGAGCGAAGCAGTGACAGAATATATGGTGCACGAGATGATATAGGATAGGTAGTAGACAGTAATGCTCCTGCTCCTAGTGGGATAGCAGGAACATGCAACATCTCAGCTGGATCTGCCTAATAGAGAATATAAAGAAGATTAGGTTACCCGTATGCCTTGTGTGTGTGTGTGTGTGTGTTGGGGGGGGGGGGAGAGATTTCAAAGATGTTTGATGGTGGTTAACTTACAAACGGCAATAACAACTTGAGTGAGGAATTGGATGTTGTGTAGTCAACTGATGAAGCCAAAGTAACAATTGCTGCCAGCTCTGGCTCAGCCCCTTCGGATCCTTATGAAGCAGAACCAGATGAATTAGTTCCATATATTGGTAACAAAATTTTAAACAATCTGATGTACAAGCAAACTGAGCAGAACAAATATAAAAAAGAGAAGAGCTACCAATCGCACTGACATCTGATGTAAAAAGCAATGGAGATGGAACCACGAAAAAAGAAAACATAACTGATGGAGTGCTATCAATGATAAGAGATGTCATTTGGTCTCTGCACAGAGCTAGTTACATTTCATATGTGAATATGATAGATTACTATTTAAATTGACACATATTGCGCTCAAGGTAACTACTGGCTCTAGATCAGAGAGTGATGACATGGTCTTTTGATTCAAATGGTATTCTTATGCTAGGTAATTTGTATTGAAAATAACATAGAGACAGGAATTAAAAGCCCATGAGAATTCAAGCAGAAGCTATTTAAACAAGGATGATTCCCGACGAATTTAAGAGGCAGTATGCAAACATCGAGTAAGCTATCAGTAATGCCTCAGCCACTTTCAAAGATGTACCAACAAATAGTTCTCTGCTATGGTTTCGGAGAAGGAAATTACCAAACCTACCAACAAATAGTTCTCTGCTATGGTTTTGAAGGAGGAAATTACAAAACCAATGCTCATTTTACATATGGCATTAATCTAGGAGGGAGCAAGTTCTGTACACTATGAGGGACAGGGAGAGGACATTCTAAGATTTTTGAGAGTCAATATTAAAGAATTAACATTGCTAATCCCCTGATGATGATAATTCATCATTTTAATAACTCCAGTAACATGATATTAATATTACAAGGAAACAGCATCAGGAGAAAAAAATTGGACAAAGATTTAGCACGAATGGTGCTTTACTGCTTTTGTTGCATTCGCGATGGGCTGTGGGGTTGTGCAGAAGCCATTTTGATAGATCAGGATGTCACGTGGTAGAAATAATTGCAGTAGAACCATTGTTATCCTAGGAGGAGTGAAAATAGCATGCCAGGCAGGATAATCGCAACGACTTTGGCTTTGTACTTAATATTTGTATGCATTACACAATGGTCAAACATGATGACACCAGGGAAAGTTTTTAGAGGTTCCAGATCTCGGTATCAAGATGAATAAAATCTGTAGTCATTTATGTGCTTGTGATAATATCCACAGCTACCAATGATAACGTAATGTTTGATTTGTTACACTACAGCCTTACTAGTTGACGACATACCTTCTTTTCAATTAAATGAAAAACTTTGCCAGCACTGCTAGATATGTAAGAGGAGAAAAGGAGACATGTCAACAAAACATACCACACTTTGAAACCATCGCATACAATAAGATTCCTCCCATGGAATGACCAATAGCAAGCAATTTCCCATCCTTCGGTACACTCTGTTTTCTTATGTAATGCATCTGAACAAACAAAAAATATTGCACACTTCTTAAAGGGGTTTCCAAGGTACCATCTGACTAGTATACATGAAGAATGTCTACAAACCGCAGCAAGTACATCCTCCTCCAGATAATGGTCAAAGTCCCAATCATAGCTTATAATAAGCTCCAATTGTTTCTGTAGGTCTTCTATGGTTGCGGAGAGGCGTTCTTGCCAGCCAAACAGCTTAGGGGAAACACTTTGTTGGCCCTCCCCCAGAATCTTCACAAGGCACTGACTTAAATTGCTAATTTGATCAGATATCACTGATGTCTGTGGCAATTCCAACAAACCTAAAATCCTTTCTGAAACCTCCTCAAGGCTAGCTAAGGAGGCATCGGGAGCAAGTTCTGACACTCAATCAAAAAAACAGTCAGCTATGTTTTTCAGCTGGCTATCTTTTACATAACCTGAGAATGTTTCACCCAATTGTGCCAAAGCATTTGACAACTTTGTCACCAGCTGTGGTTCTTCTGATATACTTGTTCCTACCATGTTCTTATCTGCTATTACTGGAACTTCAGAAATTTGAGGTTGAGAAGTGGACATATTCTCAGCAGGAACAACAACACTTGCTTTTGCTGTAGAACTTTCATCCAAACTAGGATCAGGGGTGATGTCAGACTCGGTGTTAGCTGCAGCTAGTTCTGATCCACGCATGCTCAGGCCTGCACCACGCACTTCAACAATCCATGTATCAAATCCTTGCATGGACATATGACGAGCAAATGAAGCCTGACAGCATTTCATTTGTATCGATTAAAATCAGGGGTCAAAGGGAAGCCATTACGGAAAAAAATTATAACCAAGAACAATTACAACAATACAAAGAAAACAGTTACTCCCTCTATCCCAAATTATAGGTTGTTTTGGTTCTCTAGGTGCATAGCTTGATAATATGCTACGTCTAGAAAAGCCAAAACAACCTATAATTTGGAATGGAGGGAGTAATTCATATTTTTTTGTTATTGAGTGTAACATGTAACCGGAGAGCACACAAAGCCTGAACAAAGAAAATCATAAAAAGAATACCATTGTTGTTTTATAGTAGAAAAACTAAGATTATTATAAATAATTCATTTCCTGTTGTAGAAGTAGAAGAGCAATAACAACATACATGGGCAGACACTAGGACATTAAGATAGTACACAAAAGAAAACTAACTAGCATGTTGTCGTACAAGGTTGATGTTCATCACTGCTATATAGCTGGCAAGTTGATACTTCACAAGGGAAAAGTTTTGCCAATAGCATCCAAAGACAATAATTACTATCAGTTACACAAGAAAATGCTCATTGTTTTCTGGTAAAGTTCAGTGTGCTGCATATTTCTTATTCTCACTACATTCCATACTAGCTACCCCTCTGTTCCAAATTATAATTCACTTTTGTTTTGGCCTAAGTCAAACTTCTTTAATTTTGACAGAGTTTATAGAAAGAAAAAATTACCAACATATAAAACCACAAATTAGTTTTATTAGACTCTTCATGAAACATATGTTCTGATAGAGCATCTACTTGACCTTGTAGAAGTTGATATATTTTCTAGTAACTTTGTCAAAATTAGAGAAGTTTAACATAGGACAAAGCCAAAATGAACTATAATTTGGAACGGAAGGAGTACATATGAACTTTTGTCATTTTGAAGTTGTGTCGCTATCTTGTTGATTGATCTGCTCTATGCCCCAGCACGTGCTATCAATGTATTTTCATCAGCATTTTGTTTGCTCAGAACTAAGCTACTTCTGAATTCAGAACTAAGAAGTTCCACCTGTTCCTTATTTGATTTTCCCTACTATTTTTTGGAAACACCAGCAGAGTCTGCATTTGGAAGCATTAAACAAAGCCAGTTCTCTATGAGCAATGTCTTGATTCATAGCGACTCCTAATTCATGAAAAATTTTGTTCACAGAAAACAAGTATGCACTCTTTGCACGGTAGTTTATCCACACACCATACCAATAGCTCCATTATGGACAAGCTCACTCACCCCAGGGGACAGGTCGAACCCAATGGCGTTCGTGGCCACTCCAGACAGCAGCATCAGCGGGTGGTTCCTCTTCGGCGCCTGTGCAAACCAAACCAGCACAATCAGCAACCAGAAAAACCCAACGAAGCACCACCAATCACACTCGCACAGAAGCAGCTATCTCTATCGACTCATCACCTCAGGCGGCGGACGGTACCGGCAGAACGCGAGCCGCCACTCGGTGCCCGGCACGGGCGCGTAGCGCAGCTCGTCGGCCGTGCATATAGCGGGCTTCTCCGCCACATGCTCGCAGGCTGCTGCGGCGGCGGCGGCAGAGGCGAAGGCGACTGCCCCCCGTTTGCGAGGGCGAGGAGGGCGGGCGGCGAGGCGCGCGCGAGGAGGCGAACGCGCGTAGTCGGGGAGGTGGCCGGGGCAGGGGCGCGCACGGGGAGGCGCGGGAGGCCCTGCAGGAGGAGAGGTGCGCGACGGCGGCAGCCGCGAGGAAGGCGCGGAGGTCGGCCGCGTGCGGCAGCCGCATGGTATCGGTCTGGCTCGCTCGTTCGGCCTCGGCGGTTGGGATCCTCGCCCTCGGTTCTGGACTTCTGGTGTGTTCTCTGTCGTTCCCCTTCCCCAATTCCCATCCTTTCCTCGCCGGTTTGGTCCGTGCCCGACTGCCCGCTTGGCTTGGTGAACCGAGTGGCGGCCACGTGGGAAACATGCGGTGTTTGTTCGATTGATTGGTGGGACCCGGACCACAACTACCGCCGTCGTCAAGGCGGGGATTCATAGGGTCCTTCCTCTTCTCGGTTACTCGAGAAGTTATTTTAAGTCAATTTTTTTAAAGTATGATCGAATTTCTATAAAATCACATCAAAATTTATGACATTAAATTAGTATGGTTATATATAACATAGAATATATTTTTATAATGTACTCATTTTATGTTATAGATGTTATTATTCTTTTATATAAAGTTAGTCAAATTTAAGATAATTTAATTCGTACGGATTCTAGAAGTTGATTTATTTGAGGATAGAGAGTAGGAATTTCCATAGTAGAGAAGAGCACCTTGAGCTTGTTGCCTTTGACCAAAATGGAAAGAGGCCCAAAGGTAATCTCCATACATGGCCATGACCATGGTACTCGGAGGTGGTATGATAGTGACACGTGGCGTCACTCCAATGCAATATGCAAAATTTTATAGGGACGAGCCCTTAAAAATAAATGAATTTTAGTAACAATTTTTTTAGGGTTTATTTGTATGTAGATATTCAGGGACATAAAGTTGCATTAGGTTCAATACCAAATCAGTCTTAGTATTGAAATTGGCCATGATTTAAATTTTGTTGTTTAGATAACTATTAAATTGCCTTTTGGAATCTGCCGATCGTGAGGAAAAGGAGAAAGCCCGCCAACCTCATGGAAGAAGAGAAGGGCGACGACCACCATACATTGACCATGGGGAAGAAGGGAAGAGCTCACCGACCATGAGCAAGAAGAGAAGGGACGTAGAACAACAGCCACATCATAGGCCGCAACAATGGCTGCGACGACCCTTTTCTTCTTCCCTGTGACGTGTTATTATGACATGATGAGAAGACCCTAATTGATGAGCGTGATGGAGGATGTGGGCAAAGTCGACCTGATTAGGGTGAATGCTTTTACAAGAGATAGATATTAAAGACATCACTTAGACGAGATTTGGTATAAGAGAAAATTACTTCCTTGGTCCTAAAAAAAAGTTGTGTTTTCTTTTCTTGGCCCTTTTTGTTTTGAACTTTCCTATTTGGCCTCAAAACTAAATTCGATTCCTTTTTTTTGGCCCTTCCGTTAGTTCGAGGCTCAAACCATGTTAATTTATATGCAAAATTACCCTTTTACCCCTAGCGCCAAAGACAACGTATAGCAGCCGCCATACAGGTCTTTTAGGCTGCCTAGTATCAATAATTTTCCAAAATAAGATAAAATATATTTTTAAGCATGGAATCATTATTTTTTTCTATATTTGCACATGACATACATCACATCGACAATTTAAAATCATATAAAATCCACAATTGCAATCCAAGTGCACACATACACAATGATGATAAATCAATAGATGGAACATTAAGCAGGTTGAGGTCATACATGAACAAGGTGCACACATAGGTACACCAGATGACTAAATTCACATACATTGGCTCACATTAACCAAGCCAAGTCAACATGCAGTACATGGCATCGTATATGAGAGAACATGCATATCAAAAAACAAAGGCTAAGCCTTCTTGCTTCTTGTACTCATTGCGGGGATAGGTGATTGTGTGTTTTTTTTGCTTATAGTACTCATGGAGGGACCATCATCAAGTGGCACATTTGAAGTGTTAGCATCCTTTGTACCTAGCCCTTGCTTCTTTGTGGATTTCAACTTCTTTTTACCCTTAGCCTTCATGGGTTGTTCTATGTGTGAGGGATACTTGATGGAAAACGCTTCAAGCTAATTTGAGCCACTGCTTGACCTATAAACATACAATTTTAGCAACAAATGGTGTTAGTTCAATATAAAATAGTCAAATAGAAAAACTTTAGAATTAGGAAAAAAATATCTTCTGGATAGGTCTATAGTTAGATTTATTATGGTTTCCCTTAGTCTTACTTGAAATCACCAAGCTTTGGCTGTAATGATAGAGAGCATCTATTTAGTCTCCTAACCAAGTCGCCATTAATTGTAACACAAAATTTCAGCACTAGTGTCAATTACCTTCTAGATGCTTTCGGAGTACAATCATTGCTAGTTCTATTTTTATTAGTTGATGTTTCCAAGTTTTGACTAGAGGGACAAAGCCCATATTTAAAATTTATGACAAGTTTGAAATAACAAATAGAGGAAGTAATAAATTGCAAACCTTGGTGGAAAAGACATTGATGCCGTCGATGCATCATCCTCCAAAGGAACAATAGAACTTTGGGTAGATTTGACCCTCTTCTTTGGTGGTCCCCTACAAAACAATAGATGCATTGGATTTAACATGTATTGCATTCTTTGGTGCATTCTCTAAGTACATTGCCTCTTCATCTACACCTACACGTTCATTCTATGTTCATTCTGTGGTTGCAGGGTTTCTAAGGTGATCGTCCTCATCAGGCTCTATGTTGTTTTTGGGTTGGCTACTGGCTCATATAGATTAGAAGGACCTCGCTATACAATGAACATGATGATAACCTTGCTCTTGTAGTGCTTACCAAACATAGACATCAACTCTTGGTCAGATTTTATTTCAAGGAAGGTTTTTAGAGCTTCATCATAGTATTAAATATGAGCTACTTCGATATAACTTGGATGATATTTCTCTACAACTGATTCTACCAAATCCCTGTAATTTGTAATATCTAAATCCACAACCATCTCAAAGCTAAAACATTTGACATCCTTTCTACGTCTCTTATCGTTGCCCAACAATTTGATTTCCAACTTGAAACTAGAATCAACACGTTAACACAAGGAATCTGACAAATCACATCCATACTAGACTCACCCTCGAAGCAATTCATTGTCATCGTCGTCTATGTTGGTCGCGTGTGAAGCCTGTCCATTAGCCGCCTGGGATGTCTGGGCCACAGTGGTCGTCGTCCCCGTGTTGGACTCCTAGGTCGCGCTAGCCGCCAGTTCTTTGGGTGCCACAGCTCGCGTCGGTCGCCAGCCCGTGTCTCCTCGGGCTTCACGCCAACAAGTTAGCCCCGAGCCTACGCTTTGGCTCTCAGCTACCACCACCCCGAGGCGCCCTTAGGCCAAGCGGGCGACTCGAGCGGCCGCGACCAACCTGGGCGCCGTGCTGTGGCGTCGAGGTATATTTGGAGCCGGCCTGGCCGCCGACGGGAGCTTATGGGTGGCACCCTTCTCCATCGTCGGAAGTGGCGGCTAGGGTTTTGCCGCCGGACCCGTGCACGTCCGCGTGTACGAGTCATGAAGCCGCGACTGCGAGCAGCTGTGCTTCATCGCAACCAGAAACACAAACATGTAAGGGTATTTTGGTCTTCTCGCGTTGCTCCAAAGGGCTGGTTCACTGTAGAGACAAACGGATTGGACGGAAGGACCAAGAAAGGAATGAAATTTTGTATTCGGGCCAAATAGGAAAGGTCAAACAAAAAGGACCAAGAAAGAAAACACAACTCTTTTAGGGCTCAGAAAGTAATTTTCTCTTGGTATACAAGGAAAATTTGACTTCGGCTTTCGAACAAGGGCCGTAAGGATTTTTTCGCTCACTGGGACATTGAGTTGACTAGCGAATTTCTCTAAATATTTACTCTCTTTTTTACTTTAGAAGTTCCAAAAGAATGCAATCCAACCTCCATGTTTTGTGTTGATATTTTTGGTTTAGGCAAAAAGGTGGTTTATCATCAATTTCCATGTTTAGGATATTAAATCATTATTACATGTAAAGGGGACATAGGTTCCAAGAACCGACAATGGAATTGGCATTGCCCGACGAGATCTGTTTATTTCCCTTTTTAATTAAAAACCTGCATCTTCTTGGGACAACTTGATAATGCAACCTGACTTCTTGAGTTTGTGCATCCTGTTATAACTCATAATTGTGATTTGGTAAAGTAGATATGTTTGTTAGCAAACATTGAAAAAAGTTCTTTATATGAAGTCAGGGGCATTTTTTCTTTTGTTTGAAGAAAAAGGCTCCGATCATTTCGCCCCTCCAAAGAAATAGATGGTTTGGCAAAGTTATCTAACAAATGTTTCAAAATTTTGTTGTTGGTAAAACCAGTCTAACAAAATGTTCTTTGGCAACAGATTTCTTGAAAATTTCTCAACTCCAATTAACAGCTATACAATTTTCAAAACATAATGATTATGACGTGGACGAGCTCCTTTCTGAACTCAAGATAAGGTTGCTTACGAACAGTCTGTTCGTTGGTTGGTTTTTGGACTGATAAACTCGACTAATACTAATTTGTTGTGAGAGAAAAATACTATTGGCTGGCTGATAAATCCTGACTGAAACCAACATGCGAACAAGCTGAAAGTTATATACTCCGTACCTCTATGCTACAGTTGTCATAAAAATACCTCTACGCTACATTAGGATATGCTACAGTGGGATGCAATGGAGAACAAGTCCCCGTAAAAGATTTACCAGTGTCTGGTACAATGAAATGACATGGAGAAAGTCCTCTCGTCTTGCATGGTGGTGGAGCAATCCTCGCTAACTGGTATCTTTTTGTCGGCCTGTTCGTTTAAATTTATCAGCTAAAATCTATAGTATTTTTCTTTCACAACAAAACAGCTTTAGCCAGCTTATCAGCCGACTTTATCCCATTGGTATATTTAATGTTAGACACTCCACAACCATTTTAGTAGTTCATTGCAGCGTGTATCCCATTGGCAATTAATGTTTGACACTCCACAACCATTTTAGTAGTTCATTGCAGCGTGTATTCTTGCCACAGTCGAGGCAGTGATTTTTCACGCCACACTACGTGGTGTCGCCGCAAATGCTTGCGGCGTGGCAGCATGTGGCTAAAATCCAAATAGCCCCTTTCTATTTCTGTGCAAGCTATTTTTGATGAAATGTATAACAGCTTATCTTATTTTTATGGAATGTGCGCTGGATCATAGATTCATAGACTATTTTGATGCTGATCAAGTAAAATTACAGTTGTGAGACACGGTGGAATTTCCATATTTTATGGCTTCCATTGCTAAGCACGGGCAAGAAGCCAACTTTGTACATTTTGCACCGCAGCGACGCCTGAGCCTGACACGACATGAACAAGCAGAAAAGATGACAAATGCATTTTTCTCTGGCGAGGCGAGGCTCATTCATCTCTCAGCTCGCGCTGTTGTCTTTCCTCTGCTTGATGAGCTTGAAGAGGCTGGGCATCACCTTCTTCTTCCTCTTGATGGTGAACGACGGCGTCCGCGGGTTCCGGATCCCCGCCCATGATGATACGGACGACCGCCGCGCCCTCGCCCTTCGCATCGTCGCCGACACCCTGGTCGACCGCCGCCGCGGGTACGCGCACAGCAGCCCGTCCCGCTCCGCCGCCGCGTTCAGGTCGTACAGCTCCTGTTCCAGCGCCTTCTGCTCGCCCGCCGCTCTCTCCGCCTCCGCCGCCGCCTCGGCCTCCCTGGCGCGCAGCTCGGCTGTGACGCGCTCCGCGGCCTCCGCGTGCGCCGCCAGCTCCTTCTCGCCGGCCTTGAGCGCCTGCACCCACGCCTGCGCCGCGGACACCTTCTTGTCGGCCACCACGCGGACCAGCGCCGCGCGCCCGCTCAGGTACTCGTACTCGAACCGCGAGATGGTTATGGTCCTCGACCCCTGTGACGCCCTCGCCTGCATTGTGCCTTCCACGGCGGCCTTCAGCTTCTTCATCGCCTTGGCCTCGGCCGCCTTCGCCACCTCGAGCTCTTTCACAGACGGCTGTATCCGTGCCTCGGTCACGGCGATCTCGGCGTTCACGTTCTCGGTCTCGGCGCGCACGCACAGCTGCTCAAGCTCGGTCAGTTCCTCCTCTTTCCTCGCCGCCTCTTTCTCGTCCCGCAGCTGCTGCAGTGCCGACGTCATATTTGAAACGATCGCCGTGGACCTCTCGTTAGTCGCCGTGAGGGCCTCCAACCGGGCCCTCGCCTTCAGCAGCTTGGCGTTCAGCTGCTGCACCTGCGCGTCCGCCTCCTTCTCCTGCGCCTTGAGCCGGTTCACCTCCTCGGAGACTCGCATGATCTCGGTGCGCGCGCTGTCCATGGACGTCATGAACTGGAAGCTCCCGGCCTTGATGCTCTCCAGCTCCTTCTTGGCCGCGTCCAGCTCGGCCTCCGCGGTCTGCAGCAGTGCCTTGTCCTGATCCCCTTCTTTCTTCCGCCTCGCCTCAGCCTCCGCACCGGCAGTGTCGTCGTTCTTGACACTGTTCCTCTCCATGGCGCGGACCAGCTCCATCTCGGCCTGCAGGACCTCCACGTCGGCGTTCGTCACGGCGAGCTTGGCCTCCATCTCCCGCGCGCGGTTCACGTCCTTCCGCAGCGCCTCGATCTTGGCCCTGGTGGCCTCCATCTCCCGAGCGAACCGCTCGGCCTCGGCACGCCGCTGGGCGTCGATCTCGCGGTGCTCCCGCTCGGCCTCGATGCGCGCGAGCTCCACCAGGACGTGCTCCTCGTTCGCCTCGTCCACCAGCCGCTTCATCTCGTCGGCAGCGCGCAGGTTGGACTGGATGTTTATCGCCGACGGCCACGATGTCGCTCTCGGCCTTGGCCTTGGCCTCCGCCGCGGACTTCACCTCCAGCCGCAGCCTGAGCAGCTCCCGCCTGGCACGGTCCAGCTCCCGCGACACCTCCGTGTACTCGGCAGCGTCGCGCTCCTCCTGAGAGCTCGGCGCATCCGGTCCCTTCTTGCTTGCCCTGGTCGACGGCAATGCGTGGGGCTCTGACCTCTTGGACGACGCCCTGGCCTTGGTCTGCTCGATTTGGCGCTCCAGCTCCTTCACCATGGCGCGCGCCCTCGACAGCTCGGACTCAGCGCCGGCTCTTTCTCTGTTCACGGCGGCCTTGCGTTCATTCAGCTTATCCATGCTGGATTTTGCTAGCTGCTTGATCTCTGGTGACAAATTCTGCATGCACCGAGGTGTTTACAGTTTAGGAATATGATGAAACGCAATTTTGATTTGGAAAGACCGATATGAAATTCATCCGAACAGTGCTTTACTACTATTCTGAAGAAACATTCAGAAATGAGTTAAGTTACCTCTTGTCCTAGAACATTCCTTGCCCTGTTCGTCTCCGGCTTCCTCCCACCGATGCTTTCGCCAAAGATGCTCCTTGTAGCTCTCACGGAGCTACTTCTTCCCGGGACCTCATCCATGGCGGCCTCCAATCAGAAGCTCAGGACGCAACCTTACAAGAAGAAGAGTCCAAGAAACAAAAAATTGAAGTACACCAAGATTAAAAGGCCAAGCAGAACTTCTCGGCAGGTTGTGTTTGTTCGGAGGGAGAGAATTTATGTGTGTGCAATTAAACGAGGGCAAGTGCTACTTACAGTTCGCTCGAAGGTCGAAGCCTATCCTGCTTGGCAGAGGGCTCAGGGCGCTCACTACCACACAGCACACTTGATCCCATTCTATCCACGCTGCTCTCGTCTGCCGATGGCCTCCTGCTCGTGCTGTCGACAGTTACTAGCTTGTAGCTTCCGACTAGGAGGGTTGTTAATAGCAGCTCGTTTTGGTGGCTGATAGCAAAGCCCTTGATTAATTGGTACCACAAACGGGGACCGTCATGATCTTTATGAGCCACATAATTTGTGGATGGTTGGTGTTGAATTATGTCGATGAGTAGCTCGAATTTGTCGGTGCAGATTTGAACACGTGTGTCTTCAGTTCAGGTTGTCTCAATGTTTCAAAAAGTTCAAACAATGAGGCAGCAGATTTTACATATGTAAATTCCACGCTAACCCACCTCATCACATATAATTGAGGTGAATACATGAACATCCAAATAAGTCTTAAGATATTTTTCTCGAGAAATTCTCCATAAAGTTTCTTGTTTTACAGAAATGCTATTCAGTCCCATTTTCTTTTGAGAGGGTTGGGTGCTATTCATTCAGCCAATTCTTCGGTCCATCAAACTGCCATACCTGTGGATATCGTAGGGCGTGTGGTAGGTGTACAACACAAGGCAAGAATGGTCCGAGTCCGACCGACGACCCCTTGCGGACTCGTGGTACAGATGGGCTGTTTGTGAAAGCCGGATTAGTTGTTGTGTCTTCGATCCATATAGATACAGTAAGAATGACAGGATCACAGTTCACAGGTGTGTGTACGCTCTCTATGAAGCTGCCCTCTAAAATCAAGGTGTTTGGCGTCCTGAGCTCAACTTAATACCTACTACTACTGCTAGTGCGCTGAAAATCAAGAATCTAGCAACTACACCTGAATGCAAAATTTGTGGTGCGGAAGAAGACGTTTTTGCACGTGTGATTTACTTGTAGTTGTTATAAAAAAAACAGTAACCATACTAATCATATGGATGGAAAAACAAAGCAACAAGAGTTGCAGAAGAGATCAGTGCCAAAGGCACCAACGATGCCGTTCCAACAAGTTGACACAAGTGGGCTGTCTAATGTATCGTTCACGCTTGATCCAATGTAGAAATGACGTCGTGTAGTCGTTTCCATTCGCTTTGCGCTAGGTACTAGAGGTCTAGAGCCACCATTAAGTAGACGTTCTCGCGCATGCAGGGAACATAGGTGTGTTTGTTCTAGGAGTGAGGAGGTGGTCTATCGAAATGGAATGCGTTGAACCATCAACACCTCATTATTCATAAGCTAATAATTAGTATATGCACGAGGAATTAGTTGATTCTACTAAAATTCATAGATGAATTTACGATGCATCACCTCATGAAACATGGGGCGACTTCACAAACCAAACACACCAATAGTGAGCGCGCAGTTGCGTGAAGCGCTCCCTAAAAACCTATTCACTCGTACACTCGAGCAGATGTCACAAACGAACGACGGTTCCGAATGTCTGCTCTAACAACGCTTGTGCGTGCACACACAGAGAACATAGGCGGTCACGTGGCGCGCTTCCTAAAAACCTAATTGCCGTTACTCCCTAGCAGATGTCATAGACGAACAGCCGTTCTGAATGCCTGCTCTATACGAGCTGAAACTAGAAAGTTGGAAAGCAACAACAAAAGAGGAATGTGGTGCTGGATGTGTGTTCGTGCACAAGAATAAAGATGAGCACCCTTCTTATAGGCACTAGAGGAGGAAGATAAAAGCGTAGAGGATAGACTTAGAGCAATGCTAATAGTATTGCCAGCTACTGGTTATAAGGATCTTTATAGCATATCTCTCAACCGATCCGCATACTAGCTAGCTTTTCACAATTAATACATGACACCCTTGTCTCTCTCGCAAAGGTTCTTGGTTCTTGCGTGCTGTAAGCTTACAACCCACTTTTCTTCTCTCTTCTCAACCTCAGCATATAGTCTGCTTAATTACCATCTCCTATCATACTTGCTCTTAGGTGTCACGAAGGCGCTCATTAATTTTCAATAATTGCAGCCATAGTCTCAGATGTTACCACTAACCATGACCATTTTTATGATTGTTACAAATCCAACAATGAACCACAATCAATCCATCATTAATCATCTCAAGTGGGAAAAACATCCCGGCTCGTGTGCACCTGCCCGCGGCACGTGATTGCACGCCTTTCGTCCCTCTCAATCTAGGTACACAAGACAATCACCTCTTTAAGTTGAGCACCAAGCAGGAGTGGAGGATCAAATTTCCATATATAACTAACACTTTATTGCACCTATCATTTAATCTAGCTATTAGAATATATTTGATTTAAATTGAATAAAATGGGCACAAGTCCAATTAAAATCCAACAATAGTCTCGTTACCAAAAAGGAAAAAACTATGAAGATATGCAGTGGGCAGTAGGCGCGGTGTGCCTCCCATTCCCATCATTTCCTCCCGTGTCTCAGAAATAAAGATATAATTCTAGGTCTAGTTGAAATGAAACTATCTTAATCTTAACTAAATTTATACTACCTCCGATCCAATTTATAAGATGTAGTAGTCTAACATGATATGCCTATATTACACTTTGACCATTTATGTATTCTATATTATATTATTATGATGGGAAATTATTTTCTATTTTTTATGAAAAAATTATTTCCTACTCATAGGGTGTAGTTACTTCCATGTGTATATCTCCATATTTACGGTGTATATAGTCCGACGAAGTGTACGTAGATCGAGTATGAGAATTTTTTTCAAATAATATTATTTTAATAAATAATTGCAGATCTAGGTGTTATTTTTATAAATTTGCAAAAATAGTATCCTATCGGGCTATCCAGTAGCCGAGAGGGCACCTATCGGCCACTAAATTGCCGACAGCCTACGTGGCAGGCAAAAATCACAGTGCAGAGTCCTATCGACAATCAGTTAGCCGACTAAAGGGCTATCGGCATTTGGCCAGCCAATGGGCTTATCGGGCATTGGGAGACCGACTGCACCCACAACCTGCAAACCATGTCCCTTTTAGAATTTATTTTGTTGATCACGTTTCTTTACTATTTAGATTTTAATATTTCTTTGAACCTACCCGAGCAAAATATCTAAAGACCTCAAAAGATATTGTAAATTTCTAAGTAGATGCTAAAAATCAAGCACAACCTATTTTATTTGCATCTAGCATCATTTTTGAAGATAAGAGGGAATTATATTAAAACTCACCGCAGTACATCCCCGAATTACACACGAAAAAATCTAAAATAAGGAAGGTACAATATTCTATCCAGATTCCTCTATCTTTTTCTTCGTAAAAACTTTCCTTGATATAGTCGTTGCTCTAGATAAATAGAGCATTGTCGAACACCGAAGTCAGAGTGTAGCCCATATGCCGAATCCAACGATCAACTCCAAAACAGTGGACAATAATATGTGCACCACTCTTTTCGATCGCTAAGACGCTAAGGGCATCCTTAAGGTTGCTCACTCGCTCCACTGTGGCTGTCGGGCACGATCAACTCCACAATAGTGGACAATCAAATGCCCTCTGTTTCGACTTTTCTTTAAAAAAACTATCGGTTTGGAGTACTTTCCATTTCTTTTTTACGCCTCTATCCTTAACTAATAATAAATATATCGGTGTATTATAACAAGAGAAAAAAACTATTAAATATTTATGAGAAACGAGAACAAGAACGAGTTTTGACTACTCCTTGCCACCGCTAACCTTGTGCAACGATAGCACAATCAGGCCTTCTGCATGTGCACCACTATTTTCGATCGCTAAGGGCACCATCAAGATTGCTCACTTGCTCAACTGCATCTGTCGAGCCATGTCCACATCACCGTAGGAGTTGTGCCCGATCAGCCACCACAGAAGCCGCGCTTGCATGGGGCACCGTGCCGCCCCACCATGTTGCCTCACATTGCTGACCAGGTCCACATGGTGGTCGCCGCACAATTAGCCTATGCAATAACAGGGAGCAGGGTGAGGAGCTAATGAAAATTGATTCTTTGCTGATCTCCACTAGAATATAATAGGGAGCAGGGTGAAATAGGTTTTTTATAGCTCCCAATTCGTAGTGTAAATGGAGAAGTGATTATCTAGTGATGCCCACCTGAATCAGTTGGCATTTTGAGCGTTTGGCTAGTTAGGAGTGATTCTCTTCGAAGAAGCTGAAGCTGAAGCTGGAGCTCTCCCAAACGACCCCTGAGTCTGTGCACAACTCTACCGTGCAGTCAGATTCATGCTGTCGGTTGCATAATAACTGTAGTTCTGTTACATCGCACGGACATGTTTTGCTATAAGAAAAACGAAAAAAGTAAAAATAGATGGAAAAAACGACAGAAAAGAAGAACAGGTGCAGAACAGACGCAACACGTAAAAGAATGTAAAAACAAAACAAATAAACTAATTTTCATGACTAACTAGAGTCTACATACATCTTCTAACTATGTAAATAGTACATACGTATCAAAATATGTAACCTAAAGTATATACTAATTTTTGGATCTAAATCATTAAAAAACTGATCATATAAAAAAAGAAAAAAAATAAACAAATACCTGCGTGCTTGCTTCCTGGCGATGGCGCCGGATTCCTGACGTCGCGCACCTGTCGGTCCCCGAATACCGATATGCCTATCGGCACCAATAACTCCCACGTGACATGTGGCGGCACATGTCAGCAATCCCTAGATCTGCAATTAAATATTAAAATAATATTATTTTAGAAAAAAACATGATCATACTAGACCATTTGGGATAGTATGTATGTTCAGTATACTAGTATATATAGAGTATATAGTTAAACTTATTTTCTGTACTACTATATGATCATAATGATATATAAACAAATTCGCGTAGTAAGATTTGGAGTCTTAAAATGAGTATATAAATATACTCAAACTAATAAATGAGTATCCACCCATACACAATGTGATTTATTAAAGATGGGGGTAACTACAATCGGAAGTAGAAAAAATAGTATATTTGTTTACAAATCTAATATTACGAAATTTGTATTATAACAATTGACAATTGTTGGCTAAATTATTGGTTGAAGACTATAAACTTTGATGCTTTGATATACGCAAATGCTTTATAAATTGGATAGGAGGGAGTAGAAAACATGATCGAGATTTATAACTTTAAATAGGTATATTCTAAAAATATATTTTTTTGTTCAAAATAATGATAGAATTCATATATTAAATATTAATACCCTTTTCTATAAATATAGTTTTTAAAAGAGACTGAATGAACACTTTTAGAATTATTTCTTTTCGGAGATAGTAGGGATTAAATAATACTCTCTCTCTCTCTCTCTCTCTCTCAAAATAAGCGTAAATCTCATGTTTCGATAAGTCAAATAATTCTAAGTCTGACAATATTTTAAAAAAATAGTATCGGCATTTATTATCAAATTGAGTACTATAAAAATATATAACATGATTAATCTATTAATATCAGTATTTTTATCTACTATTTAGTTAACCTAGATTAGTTGATTCTACAAAATGTGTATTTATTTTTGGAAAAGTCACCGTAACTGATAAGAATAAGAACACCAGATGCAAATTCCAAGTTGCCCACTCACCTCGCTTCACTGCTACTGTACTAGTCAAACCAAGCATCCGGCTGGTCGTCGCACCTGACCGTACATATATACAGCTCGACCCCCGCCAGACAGCATCACACACACGCACATTGCAATGGCAGCCGCTGGAGGCGGGGTAGGAGATGGCGAGCTGCGGCTGCTGGGCAAGTCGTCGAGCCCGTGGGTGTTCCGGGTGAGAGTGGCGCTGGGACTCAGGGGCCTGAGCTACGAGTACATCGAGGAGGACCTCGCCAACAAGAGCGACCTCCTGCTCCGGTCCAACCCGGTGCACAAGAAGGTGCCGGTCCTCATCCACGGCGGCCGCCCGGTGTGCGAGTCGCTCGTGATCCTGCAGTACGTCGACGAGATCTGGTGGGGAACCACCGGTCCCGCGCTCCTCCCGTCCGACCCCTACGACCGCGCCACGGCAAGGTTCTGGGCGGCCTTCGTCGACGACAAGGTATGGTACTCCAATCAGGAAATGAATCCATTTTCGGGCTTTCAGACTTACAGCCGTTTTCTTTCCTGTTTCTAGTTTTTTCCGGCGTTTAGCGCGCTGTTCAGATCGAGGACGGACGAGCAGAGAGCGGAGGCGCTCCAGAACGCGCTCCTTGTGGTGGAGACGTTGGAGCGGGCGTTCAGGGAGTGCTCCAAGGGGAAGGCCTTCTTCGGCGGCGACGCCGTCGGGCTCGTCGACATCACGCTCGGGAGCCACCCGATCTGGATGAGAGCGGTGGACGAGATGGCAGGCACCAATCTTCTGGACGGGGACAAGTTCCCTGGCCTGGCGGCGTGGGCGGAGCGGTTCATGGCCGTGGACGCCGTGAACAGGGTGGTGCCGGACGCCGGGAAGCTTTTGGAGCAGTACAAGGCGTCTCGGGCTATGCCGCCGCCCGCCGCTGATTCTAGCTGAACACACTGTGTGCCTACTTGCATTCAGTGAGTCGCTGTGGGACCCAAATAAATCCATGAGATCCACTACTTCGAAGTTCAAACACCTGCTTAGTTAAGAGTATTTGTACTTGAGAAGTATTTGGTGTCAAGTGATCTGCGATTTTGTCTATAAGACCTACGAAATGGACAAATGGTGAGATGATGCATCATCCTGCTTTGAAATCGATACAGTCGGATTCGAGCAGAGCTAAGAGCCTGACTTGCTCAGGCCAAATCCGATTCATGATCAGCACATCAATCTTCCACTCACCTGCCATCTGTCCGCTTCATGCTCTGCCTTTGTTTGCAGAAACGCCCGTGATCTACCTTCTTCCTTCAGCAGTCAGCACACTAAGGACATTTTTTTTTAAAGATCAGGAGGGGCAAGGAGTAACACTCCTTTATTTTTCCTTTTCTATCCTCTAATAAAATCTGTGGCAAACCTTTTACCGTCCTTTCTAAAAAAAAAAAAGGGGGGGCAAGGAGCCCTACTGCAGCTTAAATAAATTAAGCAAGAAGATCAAGTTCAGTTACAACAGGGGAAACAACAGGGGGGAAAAGCATACACTAAGGACAGTGCTGTGTGCTGACGAAAATTTTCTTGCAACGACCTGGAAGCGTCACCGTCTCAATAATTCTAAGTTGACTACCCTTGCCCAATCATTTTCCCCGTTGAAAGGAGACCATTGAACCACCTCTGACCCACATGACGCTCCTTTATGTCTTGCCATCTCAACCTGCTGTCTCATCGTATCCCTAAACTCACTTAGTCACTCTTTTCTTAGGTTACTGCAAGAAAGTCATGGCATCACTATTAACAATGCCGATGAATGCGAAAACAACCTAATGGAACAATCCATATCAACTCTAACGATCTTGGTTTAGAACTAAGTTCTTTGCTCAACCATTATTCCGGAGTTTTTATATGTTTTCAAAATAAAACTCAGAGCTTCCATTGTATGACACTCTCAAGTCTCTCAATATATGTGGTATTTTTGGATTCTTACCAAGGCAATAGTGATGTTATGTCTTTCTGAGAGTGCATCTAGCCGTTTAGTGGGTTTTGGATGATTGAATTACAACGTGATTAAAGGTCTAACCCATTTGCTAAGTGTGGACAGGTAATAGGCTGTCTCATAGGTATTTAATGAAAACCAAAATGATGTATTGTTGGAAACAATCTAGCTCAAACATAAGATAACAATGTAAATATAATTCATGCAAGGCTTATTTGTTGTGGGATTTTGATGATTCATATGAAAGTAAGCATGTTGAAAAATAATTAATAAGACACAAGGGATTGCATATGGATTGGTCTCACCGATTAAAGCTTGCTAAGATGAAAGATAAGTATACAAATGAATTTAATGAATGAGTCGATACCAAGTGTGACTAGATGGCTTGAGATGGTGATGATAACAAGGAAAGCCTTCGAGGTACTAAACAAAGGTGAAGAGCAAGCGCCGGCTTGGCGACCGAGGAACCTAGCTAGGGTGAAGAAGAAAGTATTTGTATTTAGTCAAGGCACCAATCAAATCATGTTGGTCATATTGAAGTGAAGAATCAAATCATATATGACTTTATAAAGAGATGACTTGATATCTTTGAAGCCAACTCTCATATGTTGAATGGAATCAAGTCAAATGCTCAAGATGGCAATGCTTAAGGATAAAATCAAAATTAACATGTTGACACCCTCACTTGATGAAGATTGAAGGCTATGGCATTTTGGTTCAAGGAAATTGAACTCAAGAGCTTCAAACTCCGTTTTCATTTGATCTTGAGTTAATAGGTATGCCGTACTATTAAGAGGGATGCATCATGTTGATAGATAATCATTCATAAGTGCTCAAGCCAACCCATGTAAGGTTTGAGTGTTTGAGAGACAAAAGAGCTAACTTGTTTTCTGCTGGTCTGGCAATACCGGACGTGTCCGGTATTTGCCTAGTCACAACAATTTCTTCATTATCATGGCTTGGCTCGTTGGGAGTCCAATGTGAGTCAGGAGTTCTAGCAATCGTCAGGAGTTTCGACGTCTCGCGCATCACTGACAAAGTGACCGTTGGGGCTGTACGACCACGTGTCTGGTATTGCTCAACGGTCACATAACGACTAGTTTTTCAAAGAGGCTATAAATACCCATTAGCCTACACCTTTGGAGGCTGTTGATTCTGCTGACTTCCAAACACGTTTTTGAGCCTTAAGAACACTCTCCAACCCTCTCTCATTGAGTGATTGATTCAATCTTGCAAAATCCATCTTGTGGGTTGAGTGAGATTCAAATTTGAGCCTTGAGAACACTTTCCAACCCTCTCTTAGTGTGTGATTGATTCAAACTTGCAAAATCCATCTTGTGGGTTGAGTGAGATTCAAATTTGAGCCTTGCGAACACTCTCCAACTCTCTCTTAGTGTGTGATTGATTCAAACTTGCAAAATCCATCTTGTGGGTTGAGTGAGATTCAAATTTGAGAGCAAGCCACCCTTGAGCACTTGTGCATATTTGTTACTCTTGGACTCTTTGGTCCTAGACGGCTAGGGGTCGTCGAAGAGCACCCAAGAGATTGTGGTGTGCCTCGAAAAGTTTGTAACAGTTTGATTCCACCGCCACAAGGGAATGAATCAACTAGTGGAAGGAGAAAAAGGAGTTGAAAAAGACTCTGGCTAGAGTGGCCTTCGTGGTCCTCTAGAGCTGACCTTTGTTGGGTCGCTCGCAGCCCCTCAACGGAGAGTAGGTCTCGACGGAGGCCGAACTCTGGTAAGACATATCGTGCGTCTCGATCTTCCTCTTTACATTTGATATTTGTGCTCTTGTGTGTTGCTTGAGCTTGTAAACAGGTTACCTAACGGCATCAGTGTTGATGGTAGTTATCATCCATCACAAACCGTCAACTTAACTTGAATAAATGCATGAAAATGATCACCAACATAGACTTAGGGGTTTAAACTAACAATTTCCATGAGTTTTGGTGAATCTGTGTTTTTAGCAGGGTTTATCTAGAAAACTGTCATGAAGGATCAAATCGTCAAATAAAAATGCGCTTATCCGCGGTGAAACCAACTCCAGAAGGTTCTAGAGGACTCCAGAAGCCATGTCACTGAAGCAGAGGGTAGAAGGCTGCCAAGTAGGGCCGCCCGGCCCCCTAGGCCCACCTGTCAGTCTCCGCTTCGACGTCGGTTCCTCCACCGCCTCCTAGGATGCATGTACACCATTTATTCAAGTCGGTTTGATCCGAGGGCTCAGAATTGACTCTCCGGCCTATATAACCATCCCCTGTCCCCCTCTAGAGCACGCTGCCATAAGTCAAGATTAGACTAGAAATTAGGGTTTCTAGAGAGGAGAATAGAGCTCCAATTCTTCAAAGTTCTAGTATAGGCTAGCTAGCAAGGTTTGAGTAGAGTGTGGGCTATTGTTCAGGATTTCGAATCTGCCATCTGAAGACTGGTATAGCCATTGTATCTCTAAATTTATGACTTTGTGCTACTTCAATATTATGTTGCAATTTATTATGTTCCTAGTTTGCTCTAGTTATATGCTTGATATAGTTATGATAGATGATAAATTTATATATATGTTCACAAAGCTCTTAGCTCAGTACTCGAGTGAGTTAAGTGGCCAACATTATGTAAGCATGGTGCTTAGATATTGTTTGCCTATGGTTGCATTATGCACTCTGGGTCATATGGTAGATCGCGGATGTGACACTCCAGTTGAGTCCTTTGTAGTCCACTCCCTGTTTGTAGAGCAAGTAGAACGCAATTGCGAAGGGAGACAAGCTCTGTTCTTGATCTTCCTTTGTAATGTTTCTTATGCATAGATCCAAAGTTAGTTATGCTATAGATCAGAGTGTATATACTTGAGTGTACAAAAGACTTAGTAAATAAGGAATGACTTAGGAATCTTTTGCTCTTAACGAATCTTCTGCTTAGCCGTACTTCATTTTATGAGTCTCTATTTCTATCTATGAAATACCATTATTACCTTACACTTATTATTTATTTATCATTTGACTTGCCCCTGCCACAGCATGAGAGTGGTTTTATCATAAGTATATATATTTGTCAATTTCTCTATGCTAGCACAACTCCATAGCTCCTCCCTATGGATAAAATATAAATAACGATACCTGATATACTCCTGGGTGAAATGCTACAATGGTATATAATATGTGCGCTTGTGGATACTTTACTTTAACATATATAATTTTCTCTAAAGTTCACAAGTGTCATTAATAATTACCAACCACGCATTTCTGGTATCATGCTATGGATAACTTAGTAAAGAGTGATGCTAAGAAATGTCAATAAGCATTTCTAGCGCCGTTGCTAGGGAAGGGCACATGGCTAAGAGAATTGATCAAATAAATACTTATTTATAAAATTATAACACCTCTACTTTAGCAGGCTTACCCTTGTTTGTCTTTGTTCATATCTTATACAGGGTATTGCAAGATTGGTTGTGATTTACTAATAATTTCCATCAATCAGAATCAACCAAAACAAGAGGAAGCTCAACACCAGTTTATGAAGCTATGGCTGACAAGACCCTACGTGAGTTCTCTGCTCCAAGCACCGAGAACATTCGCACCGGACCAACACTTAGAACTACCAACCTCGAGTTTGATCTCAAGCCAAGCCTCATCAACATGGTGCAAGCCCCCCTATTCAGTGGAAAGGCACATGAAGATGCTTGTGCTCATCTTCAGAATTTTCTGGAGATAAGTAGCATGGTCATCATCAAGGATGTTGCTCAAGACATCATACTAGTTCGCTTATTTCCATTCTCACTTGTGGGACGGTCGAAGAAGTAGTTCTACATCAACAAAGATCCATCAACACGTGGGCAAAGTGTTCAAAGGCCTTCCTAGAAAAGTTCTTCCCTATAGGCAAGACCAATGCCTTAAGAGAAAAGATTTCAAGCTTCCAACAGCAGAAAGGAGAAACCATTCCAGAAGCATGGAAACATTTCCAAGAATACATTT